CTGTACCTTAAAGAGATCACGGTCGGCAGGCTTTTCTTTTCTTGCCGCGCATGGCCATAATGTCTGTTGTTATTTTGTCCAACCTCTGTAGTTGTTTACAACGCTTGTTTTCATTTATGTTGCCATATCAAAAGCATTGCAAATCTCGATTTATTTACCAGCAGCTTCTCCTAACTCATATTTCACGGGCCTCCCACTGCTTATCCAACCAAGTGAACTCTGCATCATTCACCCTCAGCATGTGGTGGATATGAAATGTAGAAACACGTTCAGCAGCATTATTAATAACAGCTGTTCTGAAAAGAAGGGAACAAAATGCAAAATGGGAGGCAAGATTGAAATGTAAAGGGAAACAACTCAATCAACTCAGTGACCTACTAAGCTTCAAACCACTGAAGGAACTATTTACAGGATGTTTTATGACCTCATAGAATGTCATGACATGTATATACAATATATACACACATATGTGTATTTATATGTACGTGTGTATGTATGTGTATATCTATATATATGTGTGTGTGTGTGTATATATATATATATATTTATATGTACACAGTTCATTATATGTGCTGAAACAGCTACTTCAAAACCACAAGGAGGTAGTCCCAGTGGTCACAAAACAAATGGAAAACAAAACTGGATCATACCATTTTCATGTGCAATGTGTGAGTCAACAACGCAGGCTTAAAAGAAACAAAAGTTTGTGTGTCTTAAGCATCTGGCTGTTTTATTGTTTTTTGCTTGTCACTGCGTCCATATAACACTTCACTTTGGGTGTGATCAAGAACCAGAAAGTAAAATGAGAAGTGAAAGGTTTTGTGTTTAGAAGAAGGTTGAATATGACTTTTAATGGTTTGACTCATTTTGTTTTATTCAGCTGCTGTGTACTATTCTGTGGCTAATATTTAACTGTCATCATGTACTCTCATTTTGAAACAGTGTAGTTTACAAATGAATCTTTGCTAGCTTTGTTTTTTAACATAAAAAAAAGTTTAAATGTGAGCTGGAATAACAGTATGAACTTATACATTGATATGAACCACATTAGAATAGTATTAAATTCAGTAGTTTTTAACATTTACACACTAAGGTACACATTTTACTTATCAGTGGCCAGAGGAAATGAGTTGTCTGTGCAGTTGATTGCTAAAAAGATACATTTCCTGTTTCAGTATGAGGGAAGGCAATTCTCACTGTGGTGTATTTTAAACTGATTCTATCTTTTGTTAAATAACAGCTACCTGATCCTGTTTTGATTATAAAATGGTGCCTAATGTAACTTTTCCCATTGTTCACAGGTTCCCAATAATCTGGACAGCGTGTACAGCAGAGGACAATGCCGACTCACTCGGTGCCGCCGTGTGTAGAGAGCCCGGATGGACTTGCCCAAGATATTCTTATTAGTAACAATGCAAGCATCCCGGGGTCTGGCTCTAGCATGACACCACACAACTCCTACTTAGAAAAGGCTGTGTTGCAATCTGGAGGAAGTGTACCATTATCTTGTATGTTCTGTGACCAGACTTTTACTCATCAGGATGAGTTAGGGCCCCATGTGTTAACACAGCACCCCACCACTTTCTTTGAACCAGCTGTGCTCAAAGTAGAAGCAGAATTCAGGATTCCAGGGGAGAGACCCCGGCCCAAACCAAGCAGCCTCGCTGTTGAAAAAGACGAGGTTCACAGCTGTATTGTGTGTGGTCAGGTTTCACAAGATGCCAGTGAGCTGGAGACCCACATGAGGAAGCACAAGGACTACTTCACTTACTGCTGCAATGTCTGTGGACGGCGGTTTAGAGAGTCGTGGTTCCTCAAGAACCACATGAAGATGCATGTAAAACCAGGAGCGAAGAGCAAGGCCCAGCAAGACCTGGAGACGCCGGTCACCGTCAATGATGTCGTCCAAGACCCTGCCCCAGAGCCTGTAGCCACCATTTACAAAATGTGCATGGTTTGTGGGTTTTTCTTCCCTGACCATGACAGTTTAGTTGAACATAGTAAAGTACATAACCGAGAGTTGGAGCCTGGCAGAGAGAAAGACAAGGAGAACCTGGATGGCACTACTGAATCCTTTGCTAAACAGGAAACATTTCTTCACAGTCTAAGACTTCTGCCTCGCTCTACAGGAAATAGTTTGCAACATGAGAGATCATCGAAGTGGATTCCCCAGCTAGATCCCTTCAACACATATCAGGCCTGGCAACTTGCTACAAAGGGCAAGATAGCAGTCGGTCCTAATACAACTAAAGATATTGGCCAGGAAGCCAGCACAGACAATGAAGAATGCGGCTCTGATAAGGAGGAGTTGAGTAATATTTGGTCGGAGGGAGACAAAGCTACAAAAGAGGTGCTTGGGAGAGAGCTCCGGCCTCAGCCGCAGACTGTAGTAGAAAACCCAGAACCACAGCGGAGGTCTCTAATGCAAAAAGATAAAGACAAAGAAAGGCCAACCACCTGTGACGAATGTCCGAGAACCTTCAGGACCTACCACCAGTTGGTTCTCCACTCCAGGGTCCACAAGCGGGAGAGAGGTGGTGAAGGCAGTCCAACTTCTGTTGATGAGAAGTTGTCAAGAGCAGGCTCACTTGAGCATGCAGAGGACGGCTCTGAGGAGGGCTTTGAGGAAGCGGCTTTGTCAGAAAACCTGGGTCCAGGTACATTTAGGAACTCATTAAACGCTCATACTTCACCCACACTGTCTTAATTGTGATTTAGGAATTGTTTTAAACAAAGAACTCTGTTAACAAGTGCTCCCTCTGCTGATGGGAGGGATAATTACAAATGTTTCCTTCTATGTATTTATTAATGCTTTTGTGTCTTCTTTTCAAAGGTGAAGATGGTTTTGATCGATCAAAAGTCAGATCAAAAGAATGCAGCTATTGTGGCAAGTCCTTCCGATCAAGCTATTACCTCACAGTTCATCTGAGGACCCACACAGGTATATTCAACAGGCCTTGATGAATATATTAAATATGAAACTGCATCCAAAAACTAAGTTGTATACAGCGGCTATAATTCTGTTTATAGTTAGCTTATTTTAAACTATGCTAATGCTTAACTGTTTATTGCAGGTGAAAAACCATTCAAGTGTGCTTACTGCGACTACGCTGCAGCCCAGAAGACTTCACTGAAATATCACCTGGATCGGCGTCACAAGGACAAACCTTGCGTGGACATTCCCAGCAGACCGGTGCCTTTAGTGCCCTCTCCTAATGAGGGAAAACATGGAAATGACAATGATAATCCTGCTCCAAATAGATCCAAACTGTGGGTTCCTGGAGCTAGATCGAATACCAATGGAACACCAGAGGACAGATTTGATAGCATAGGTAGCAAGCTCGGCAAACCACTCGTCCAGATGAATGCGGAGTATGAGAAATTAATTGCTAAGTCTGCTTACTCTCCGATTGATGATGTGGTCGTAAAGTGCCCCGTACCTGTTAACCTTAAGATTGAAAGGGAGGAGATAAAAGACGAGAACTCTGAGGCCCCATTAAATCTGTCCTTAAAAGTGTCTGTCTCCATCCCTGCCAGTGCCGAACCCAGAAATGCATTAATACCAATTGCCTGTTCATTTTGTGCCTATAAAACCATGTACCCAGAGGTTCTGATAATGCACAAAAAGCTGACCCATAAAGACAAGTCGGACAGTACCAAAAAGAATGGATTCGGAGGTAGTTCAAAACAGAAACGTTTTACAGGTTGCCCCCCTGCGCTGGACGGGAAAGATGTCGTCCCACTTCCAATGATTGACCAGCGCCACCCTCGTCGAACCAAGTCCCCGCCTCCCCAACCAGCCAAACCACAAGAAAAGACACCTGTTAACCCACCTGCTGGTCCTAAGCGGTCCCCTATCCACGCACCCGTACACGATGCTGTCCAGGAGACCCAGCGTCCTAGACATAACATTGATACACATGCCAGTCAGGAATCCTCCAGGTACACAGAGCTTTTGAGGAAATCCAACACGGCAAACAAGTATGTCTTGGACCGACCAGGCCCCCCCGACAGAATGGGAATTGGTGAGAGGAGTTACCCAGTGAGAAGCGGCGTCATTTGGCACTCAGATGCTGCCAGGCTGTGCCTGTCGAGCCGATTTGGGAGCCTCCCCCAGATGGATTTTGGTGAACCTTCCAACAAGAGATTAAAGTATGCCGTACCTGCAGGCAGGGAAGCCGACACCGGGGAGAAGCTGGGCTTTAAAGGACCAGCCGGGGATGGATCAAACAGGCTGCTCGTCTCTGGGAGAAGTATGAAAACCACATCACAAGGCTCAGGCCCAACCACAGTTTCTGATAACATGGCTCCTTTGAAGAGTACATCTACAGCTATGGGAGGAGGTTTGGACACTGAGTGGGGCATGATGAACCTTCTGCGCTCCTACACTCCCAATGACCTGGCATCTCTCTATCACAGCACACCACCCAACCCCAGTCACGGAGGACTGGCAAACCCAAGAGCAGGTACGTATTAGGATAGCTGGATCAGGAGCGGTACAATAAAAAAACCAACTTAAAACTAGGCTGCTTTATATTTTCATATTCAGTTTGTAGAGTTAACATTAAAGATTTCTTCTCAGGGGGCAGAACTGTGCTGTACCAACACTTACCCACTCTGCCCAACCTGCAGAGGAGAGACCCCTCAGGCCTTTTCCCTAATCAACGCTATGGGACCACTGACAAAAGTACCTAAAGTGGCACCAAGGTAAAAGGCTGAAAAATATTTTGAAGTACATAAAATTAGAGCTTCCTTTTTTTAAGGCTTGACCAGAATCTTTGAAAAGTTTAACCTGCTACATTATACAGAGGAAGCGAGTCATATTTTCAAGCATAAAGTGTTTTCTCCCCTTTTCTCTAGATCTGAACTGTGCTGCTACCTTATTTTGGAGAACTTTGGAGAGAAAATTAGTTTAATGTATGGATTTAAGAGAGATGGTTTGTGCTCAAAAAGTGTCTATGCTCCCCTAATTTAATATTTTTTCAATAGTGGAAAATTGTGTTGCATAGACATTTCAGAAGCCTTTAGTATACATTTGTTTTCTTTTTTTGAATGGAAGAGTACAGACCACCTCTGCACTGTGATATTTTTTTTTCCCCCACTTAAAACTGTTGCTTAATCCATATTCGATCTACACTAATGTTATCTGTAAGTGTCTGTGGCACACAACGGTAAAATGTGTATATGGGATAACAAGTATAACTGTAAGCTTTCAGTACATAATTGTAGTAAAACGTTAAAAATTATCATTTGTGTGAAACATTGCCGCCCTGGTCACTTAACTGTCGATGCCCAGGTGGTAATTAAGCACTATTCTATTATTATTTTCCTTTTCCAAGGCACTGAAGGGTGTGGGGGTTTCTGTGGAATAACTTGATGGCTATTGGCCAGTTGCGTACCAACGGCCACAGTAACGAGTCCTGTGTATGCTGAAGTGGTCTACCTCATTTTGTGCTCCAGACAATGTTATTTTTGTAAAGCTGCTGTAGCTATCACGTCAGCTGAGTCTCTATACCCTCCCACTCGTCTGTCAACTAGGGACAGATGTTTTGACTTGGAGTATAACTAGATGGACATGTGTTTGTCGGGCACCACATTAAACACAAACTCATCTGGTGACAGCAACTACTGCTGAGGCCATATCGACCTATGGCGCATGGTTGACTGTAACACAATATGGGTTGTGGATTTCTTTGTTACACTTGGTATTTACAAGCCCGGGTTTAAACACAGGACAGGTTTCATGGTTATTATTTGTCCTTTTGAAATGGCAAATGGCTGTCTTCTGCTTTAGTGGTGCCTCAGATCCATAAGCTGTACAATCACCAAATTCCATCGTTGAGCTTCGGAAATGGTCCTGCTGTATTATTTGGACTGTGTTTAGTCACTTTTCAGGAGTTTGTTTCTACTATGCAGAGTCTTGAAAGTGTTCTTGTGTTTCCAGTGGCAGCAGTCAGTCCCGACAGGTCATTAATTGGCCGTTTAGATGTGGTATGAGTTTTGAAAGAAAAAAAAATACAAAAGCAGCTATGTTGATTAATGGCTCGATTAATTACACACTGTGAACGAGAAGTCTCAGGTTAACTCATATTTACACGCTGTTTAGGCTATTGTGTAATTTAGTATTTTGGCCACTTTGAAAGGCTTGGGTTAAGTTATTTCTTTTTCTGTTTGGTATTCACATTACATGTGTACTTACGTAAAAATGAAAATATTGTTTGAGATTTGTATGACACATTTCAATAATAAAGTGAGAGGCGAAAAGCTCTGCGGTGTTATGTGTTACTTCACTGGTGGGCACCTGTCCACCGAGTTTGAGGGCCTCATATTGGTAGTTACAAACCAGCTGTAAGTCACACATACCTGCAGCTTAAACACTTCTTAAACAGCAATTTTATGGGTTGTATTATACCACAGACTCCATTGTGTAAATGTTTTCCTCTTTAGACTGTTTACTGTTGAGAGGATCCCCATTAACTTCTGCTGCTGCAGTTGTTGGTCACCTTGGGGTCCATTAGCACACACAAGTACAAAGGGGTTCTACATTAAGTTATTAAAAAAACACAAAAGAATTAACATTGAGCTTAAAACAAGGCTGAAACATGTGTGAAAGAGAGGATGCTTTGTGGATTAGAAATGTATTTGATGTAGGTTTGTTAAAGTTCTGCGGACCCTGCAAAGACCACAGACCAGTATTCACGGTGGGTAAGAACCAGTGATTTAACCGTGATCATAACATCTGGAGGGACGCAGGGAGATCACTTCTGCTGATGCTTGCCCCTCTCCCCCATTTTTCAAACAATATTATGTGCTGAGGGTGCTGAGATGTGTTCACAGTGAGACCCATTAGCTTGGTTTTCTTTAACGTCCTCCAAGGGAGACACCCTGCAATGACAGCTTTAATTGCGGATTGCAGACTACTCTGGATCTGGATCCAAAAGGCATCAATCTGGATTTGGATAAATTCACTACTATACTACCCAGTCGTCTAACTTTTCCAGATCCTTATCTAAAACACCAGTTAAATCATCAGTGGACTGTAATATGCATGCAACTGCGGTAACCTGTGATCACCACTTCAGAGTAAGTATATTTACTCCCTAACAAGAAAAGAATTAGCCTACATGTATGGACCTCATACCTCCATTACAACAATGTTCAACAATGTTTAACAATGTTCTTTGGCATGAAAATGTATCATTGGTAAATGAATAAAAAATGTATAGATTCACATGAGACTGAATAATATGTGGTACACTCCCTTTCCCTTTCTGCGTCAATGACTCAGATTGGCCACTAGATGGCAGTATTGACAAAGTCTAGATTATACCCTTGTCAGATTCTGGCTTTAAAGCCTTGCATGTTCAGTCTCAACAGTAGATCTACTGTTTGTGGTGCAGTTAGTTAGAATAAATCTGTATATTGTGGCCAGGCTGAGAATAGAAATACAGGAATGTCTATTAGCCTTGAAACTGAGTAGACATTAATACATGTTTGTCTTCATTTCAAAAACTACACCTCTCCACACAGGACAAAATATGCTCGCACAGCTCTCTTTAGTTTGAAACTTATAGTAATAAATACGCTGCAGGTGCAGCCACACCCTGATTGGTCATGTCGCGCAGATATCAGCTATCAAAGTCAATACACCTGGTATGACATCACTGATAGCGGCGTGGTTGAAAGTTTCAAACAGCAGTGCAGCTTTCTTTTTTCTTTCTTTTTGATTCTGTGAGCATTTACTCCTTGAAAAGCTTCCCGAGAGAAGTGTGGTAATAGCTTCTACATCTGCAGGACATGAGCACACAATTGTTGAATTTCCCCATATCTATAAACGGAGAAGACTGACATAACCTATCATGGCTTTGCATTCTGTAAACAACCAATTGCAAGGGACAATCTTCAGCACATTGAACACTTTAAACTTTGAATCCCCCCCCACCACCACCACC